CCCGCCCACGAGCGCCGCGGCGCCATCCTATTGGCCAGTGCCTTCTCTCCCGCCCCGCGTCCTGCCCATCCCTGGCAACGATTGGCCTTGCCAGACCCTGACAGGTGGGGTCCTTGCCGCCATCTTGGGAAGGAAAAGTCAGAGGCAGGGCAGCTTCCTCTTCCACCCTCCCTTCTTTTGCTCTGCACGCCACTTCTCCCCCCTTCTTTCTGCTCGCCCTGGTTTCTTTCCCTTCCTCTTCCACTCACCCCAGCGACCTTGCAGACTGAGCAGCACCCTGCATCCTAGGGAAGTCAGGAGGCTCAGCTTTTCTTGGGTTGGGGCTCTGGAAGGTTAAAAGGGAGCCTGGAATCACTACACGGTCAGATCAACTTTTACCTTTTGCAGCAGCTGAGCTTCTAGCCGTTTGTCGAGTGTTTTCATTGGTTCAGTAGCAACATGATCTGTTCAGTGTAGGTCTGAAATGTGGGATGGGTTTTTTGAACTTGAAACTTTGAATAAAATGGAATGATGGAAATCAGAGTAGATTCTGAATATCATGGATTGCAGGATGGAACTCTGTCTGGAATTCCCTTTACTATAAATGTAAAGAGATGGTGTTGTCATACCAGCTGAAATACATTCAGAGCTAGGGCAAAATTGCACAGTGTTAAAACACAACACTGGCAAAACTCTCATTTAAGTTAGCATGAGTTTAGTGATGGCAAGAAAAAAAAACTTTGTTTTTCATATGATTCCACTAGGATCAGCAGTTTTTAGCCTTACCCATTTTGTGATCCCGTGTTACAAGAGAAAAACATTTCCAGATGCTCTCTCACATAATTGAGTGTCACAGGATCAAACTCTTTAATTACTGTAACTTCCCACAAACTGAGTAGTAAATTCTTCTGGGCAGTATATAGCTAGAATAGAGATCCTCATACACTAATAGAAAACTCATTCAACCTCTTTAGGAAAAAAATGACCACAATGATGTAATAATATATAGGTCAAATCTTGCATTCCCTATGCCTGCTAATCTATCACTGGGAGGGAGTTCAGTATTTGGCCTTCAGATTCCCACAGCAAATTAAATCTTTACTGCTTTCCTAAAGCGGGGGGAAGGAGTGTCTGGGCAGCAGCTCAGAAATTTGCTTTTCTTTTCCTGTTGGATTTAGGATGATCAGACCTCTGGATGTTATCAGGCTCATTTCAATATTAGCAGCTGTGTCTCATACAGGCAACTGTCTCTCCCCCTCCTGAAAAAAAATCCCAATTTGTCACACTTTCTGTTGGTCACCGTCACCCTAGTTTCAAAATCATACTGCAAGAGACTCAGTATGTGTCCTGGGAAGAAGCTATGCTTGGGGTTGGTCCTGCTTTTAGCAGGGGGTTGGACTAGTTGTTTTCCTGAGGTCTCTTCCAACCCTAATCTTCTATGGCATGATTCTGAGAGACCTCGGGAAGGGGGGCGAACCTTTGTGCCATTTTAGCTTCCCGGAACTCATAACCCTCTCACCCAGCGGCCTGTAATTGGAATTTGGCAAGAAGCGGCCTTAAACCTTCCTGCCTGTGATTGGTCTGCTTTGGTGTCAGTCAGCTCACGGTTGAAAGCAGCAGGGGAAGGAAGAGGAGGGTGCGTGCTCTGCAGCCGTCTCCTGGCTAGAGAAGTGGTTGCAATGTGCGAAGAAGGCCCGCGGTTCAGTGTTAAGGAATACAGATTTACGAAAGAGCAGGATGAACAAGAAAGAGAAGAGCCGACTCAAGAACTGGTGGTACTGATTCCTGAGGTGCTGATACATTTACACATATTCCCCTTCAGTTCGTTGTGCAGCCTGATTTCCTTCCTTCCTCCCCAAACCAGGAAATGAGAGCCATATTGGGATGGATAAGATCTTTTTCTAATAAGAAAAGGCCTAGATTTTGCATTCTTTCCCTGGATTTCATCTTTTGTGCTTGTCCAGTCCAATAACTTCAGATGCACAATATGCTCCTTTATAGCAGAAATCACCTATACCGATTGTAACCTCTGGGCATTACTGCAAAAAAATAAAGGGAGGATGGGTTCAAGGAAAGTTGAAAGTAAATTTTACAAATCATATGGCTCCTAAGTGCTCATGTAACTCTAACAAAGAATTCATTATTCTACTTTTCTGGTAGCTTAAAATTGTAGAAAGCTATGGAAGGTAATGACCAATTAATTATTTTGTTTTTTAATTTTATTTTTTATATTCATTAAATGTGAACAAATAGTTCACACCCTAGGTTTCTAACTTTCAATTGAATTATATTTTTAAAATGGTAAAAATGCTATTTGAAAACATATCAAAATAAAAATAAAGAACCTATTTAGTGCTCACTTGTTTAGTTCAGCTAGTGAACTGCCTTTTTGACAATAAGTGCCTTAGCCCTGTCTACACAATTCATTTACTTCAAAGCATGAAGACTCAATGATCCATATTTATAAAATGCACTGAATCACCATAACTGGGCACAACTGACTTTATAAGAAGAGTTTTGCTTCACTAAAGACTGTAGGAGAGCTCTTCAACCAGGAAAAATGGGATGAAATCAAGAATAAGTAAATCTAAGCTAAATTTCAGAATAAAAATGTAACAAATTCCCTTTGATCTTGCATTCCTTACTAATATGTGCCTAACTGTGCTCGCTTGCTGCAGGACTACTTAGTTGAATGAAGATTCCAGAACCAGAACATTAAATTGTAGAATATCCCAAAGCAAAATGAGAGATGTGTCACTGAATACTTAACTTTTCTAGACTAGTAAAGACTTAACCAGGAGTGTAAGGCAAGTCTTTGTTAATCAAGTGGGAAAGCTCTAGCCATATGCAAACTAGCTTATTTAATAGTAGGGAAGTACAATTTGTTTGCAATTACATACATGTGAGCAGAAAAATAACAGGTCAATTGAAGTAGGTATAGTTCAGGATCAAGTCCAAAATGAATGTTCAAACCAGGGCTAGAGTAAAAATTCATTAATATTTTTCTTCCTCTTTCAAAATGCTCTGTGGTGCTGCCAAAGATCATTAGGAGCTTATTGTTTCAGATCCTGGATTCCCAATATGGCATGTACGTTTGGCCTTGTGCTGTGGTTCTTGCTCAGTACCTGTGGTTTCACAGAAGAATGCTACCTAGCAAGAGAATTTTGGAGGTAAAAGTAATTGTGAAAGATTTTTGATCATATAAAATTACCTTTAAAATTAGTAAGATCATGGTACTGTATCTTAAATCTGTTTAGTTTTTATTTCCATTTTAATTTAGATGAGTTACAGGTTGTTTTTTTCCTGTTTCCCTTTCAGTATTAATATAATTCTAGCTGATCCTAGATAATGATCTGCCTTGGGCTTTTCTTATTTTCTGTTCTGCCCATGTGTCTTAAGATGTTTTAATCACTAATCCAATTTGTCAAATTACTGGTTTTTGTGTGTTTGGTTTTTTGTGGCTAGAGATTCACAGACAGTTTAGTTTGCACATTCATTTGGTCAAACATTAGGAAAATTGCAAAATACTCAAAGGAATAACATCATAATTAAAGCAGCTATTTTATGCAGGCTTATTTATAGAAGCAGCAGTTATGAGCCATTGAAGGTACTTCCTGTTAAATTAAAGTTTACTTATCTGCAGGATTAAGCTTTATCAATAGTATGTTTCAGCATGTAGGATTCCATCCAGTTCATTATATTTACAAGAACATAAACAGATAGCATTCCTGACATTCTTAAATGTTATCTGTGGTGTACTACTGTTGCTACAGATCAAATACAAGGCTACATCTACACTGGCATGATTTTCCGGAAATGCTTTTAACAGAAAAGTTTTCCGTTAAAAGCATTTTCAGAAAAGCGCGTCTAGATTGGTAGGACGCTTTTCTGCAAAAGCACTTTTTGCGGAAAAGTGTCCATGGCCAATCTTAGACGCGCTTTTCCACAAAAAAGCCCCAATTGCCATTTTCGCGATCAGGGCTTTTCGGAAAACAACTCTCTGCTGTCTACACTGGCCCTCTTGCACGAAAGTTTTTCGGAAAAACACTTTTTCCCGAACGGGAGTAGCATAGTATTTCCGCAAAAGCACTGACAATCTTACATGAGATCGTCAGTGCTTTTGCAGAAATTCAAGCAGCCAGTGTAGACAGCTGGCAAGTTTTTCCGCAAAAGGAGATGATTTTGCGGAAAAACTTGCCAGTCTAGATACAGCCCAAATGTATTATTCTCCTGAGCAAGGTCAGTTCAGAGCTGAACATGTAGTTGTAAAGTTACTATATATTCACTAAATAATAGCATCATTAAACAACTTGAGACAAGATATAGAATATATTCCTCCATGCTTCAGTTATCCTTTGCATTAAACATAGTTCATGGATTTTTGTTTTTACTTTGTTTAGATTGGAGCAGGTGTGAGCCTACCTGGTATAGTAGCTGCTAAATGTGGTGCTGAAGTGATACTGACAGATACTGAAGAGTTGCCTCAGTGCTTGGAGAACTGTGAGCGAAGCTGTCAAATAAATAACCTTCTAGGGATACACATTATAGGACTCACATGGGGACAAATATCTCCCAATCTGCTCTCTCTGCCTGAAATAGACATTATTCTGGCCTCTGATGTATTTTTTGAGCCTGAAGGTTAGTGACTATTCATAAACACATCAAATGTCTTAAATGTATGTAATAAGCTAGAGAAAGTGAAAAGGTAGTATGATATTTGACAAATTCCAAAGGGAAACAAGTTGTGGCTGGCATTAAGAAAACATTGATAATGAACTCAAAATTAATGCATGCTTGAATAAAGTCATTTCTGGGTTTGAGTTTAAATATATATATTCCATGAAGACAGATGAACATTATAATAGTTATGGTAAAAAGAAAAGCAAACTTTAGAAAATAATACCGAATAGCTAACTGAAAACTGATACCATGGTTGAGCTTTAAACTTAGCCTTAAAACAACTGTTGAATGTTACTGTAGAACTGTGCGCCAAACATAGGTATCCATAGACAATTTTAGATTTAAGTTGTTACAAATAGGGATGTTAAAATGTTTCAGATAAATGTGTAACTGCTAAAAATTTAAGTGGTTACATGTTTACATGCAGGGGGAGGCAGCTCCCCTCTCCAGCATGGGGGTGGCCTTGCATGTAATCATGAAGGTTTAATGAGCCTGGGCTCATTTAACGTTAACTGTATACACATTTACGGTCATTAGTCCATTATTTGTTTGTCATGGTATATTTTAGCATGCATAGAACCACGCGATTGATCATTTAAAATCTATATGCAGATTTTGAAGATATTTTAACTACTGTGTATTTCTTGATGAAAAGGAATCCAGCTGCTCAGTTCTGGACTACTTATCAGGTCCGAAGGTAATCTCAAGAGAAACTGGCTTTTGTTTTTTGTCTTATGGCTTCAGAGTCAACAATATTGTTTGGGCTATTAGACTCTGCTTAATTTACAGGTCAGTGATTCTTAAACTTCTGTACTGGGGGCCCCTCCACACAGCATCTATAAATTGCTTAAAAATTGATGGACGTGAAGCAATGTTTGGGGGTAGACAGACTGATGCTTGTACCCCCTCAAGTAATTGCATGACCCCTGAAGGATCACAACCCATTTAGAAAGCTCCTGTAATAGATGTCAGAATCAGGGCCCTTGTTAGGATTGTGTTCAGCTTATGACATGTTATAAAGTCCACATATTCAATGAGGCATAGTGAGTTGCTTGCAATTATACAGACTGACCACAGTTCCTTAGGCTACATTTAACTTAATCCTTAACAGGAGGTCAAGTGAGAGTAGTTATGAATCAGTTCATAGATGACAAGGTTGGCATCATTGGAAAGAACTGGATGTGATAGGAACAACTCTGCAGCTACAGGGAATTTTAACAAATAAGGGCTTGGAACGAGGGGCAACCTACACTAGTGAATGGATCTGAAGACATTTCCCCAGATAGGTTAGTTTTGCTAGCTGCACTTGTATACCTAGAAGTTGTGGTATACATAACTTATTTCACATGCCCGGCCTCATTTTTAGTATCAGGAAAAAACCCTCCATGAATGAACAGAATCTCCTCACCCTGTACATAGCCTACCATTGGATGTAAATGAGCCACATTATCCACTACTCCCCTAAATTATTCCAACAGATTAAGAGGTTAAAGTGGGTAACATGTAGTTTTGCCTTGTTTTAAAAAACAGAAAAAGTACTGAACTAAGATTACTTTTTTCCTTCAGTTCTGACTGGTCTATTGAAGCTTTACTATACAAATGGAAGTTGAAGAATGTCCACATTCCCTTGGGGTCTTTTAATGCTGACAAGGAACATTTGGCTAACTCTCCTCTCCCAGGAAGGCACACTATAGAAATGATGATAATCTCCCTATAAGAAGCAACCTATATCTAAGTTTTTCAATTAAGTATGTTGGCTTGAAGCATGGATTACAAAAAACTGTTTCCTTCACTGATCCTTCTAAAAATGGATTTATCATGCTCCACATTGTAGCATGAGGGGCATTTCTCTTTACACACTGTATGAGTAAGATCTGTTGAAAGTGTTCAGCTAATTACTTAAGTTATGTTAACAATGGAATAAAAATGAATTTTGCTTCTATTTGAATTGCATTGCAGCTACAGGACAAAGGTGTTATGAAGTTCTGGCAAAAAATTATATACATATTCTAGCTGAAGTTATAATGGCTAAATTGTAGTTTCTTTAATGTAAAAACCTGACAGCTACTATACCTATTTTCCAATTAAAGTTAATTCACTAGACCTTAATGCTCTTGAACCATGTTCGTGTCATGCAGATAATCCTTTATTATATGCACAGCAAGAATTGTGATCAAAATTTTAATTCAGCAGCCCACAATTTACTGTAGACATTTTAGTATTAATAGTTTTGGAACAGGTATATCTTGTTCAATTTAAGCACTTTAAATGGAATGCAGTCTTCAAAGTACAGAGGAAATCCTCAGATAATGTAATCTTCAGATTTAACTGGGATGAGTTAAAAAAACCTTTAAGCACATTAACAAAATGCTGTTAAAGTGGTTTTCTATACTGTATAGTATTTAGAACTTCAGTGAACTTCATTCAATACTTCAAGATTAGCAACTGTCACTTAAGCTGGCACAAAGGCAAATCAGTGCTGGTTACTTATTCTTTTAACAAACAAGTCTAAGCAGCCATTTGGCCCCTTGTTTCAATATTTCAAGTTTGTATTACAAAAAAGCCTTAAAATTGCTAAAATGATGCACTAAACTTTATATTTGAAATTATTCCTTGTTAAAATTGTAGTCTACCTGGTTTAAAGAAGTCAAAGTTAAACATTCACAGTGTAATTGCTGAGATTTTAGTAAGCTAAAAATAAATGCAGACTCAGACACTAAATTGAGAAAAGTCAACACCAAGAAAAATGTTTAATAGTAACTACAGGGACAGTGGTTATAGTACATGTCATAAGCAAAAAAAAAAAAAAAACAACACCAATCAGTACTTACAAAGGAATGAAACATTGGCTCTTATTATATTTTATATGCAAGTTCATAAATGTAGATGGTAAGATTTACCATTCTGGAAAAAATAAGGTGTGTATATCATCAGCTAGATGTGCTCACTGTATGCTCCATTATTTTTATGCAAGGCCCGGGTGACTGGAAGTGCAGTTGTCAGGCATATTAATTAACTGGACAGCCATTTGTTTCTGCACGACAAGGCATCGTTACACAGGAGCAATCAGGAGAAAACAGGAAACAGCCAAGCACTCTGCACTGCAACACGCCACCTTAACAGCTAACCAGCATTACTCAACTGCTACACAACTGCGCCTAGTGCACAAAAATACATAAGAGAAGAGATTAGAATTGAGTCTGATAAAACAGTCTTTTCAAAAATCAATTGTCACCTGAAAAAAGTTTTATACAAATTTGGAACAGACAATACTATTTTAATTCCAAGTAAATAGCATTTACAATAAGTTTACATTTGAAGAAGTTTTGCAGAATTTTATTGAAGGAATGAAGGCAAATTGGAAAACATTTCCTTGACAGTCAGCTATTCAGCATGTAATGGCTGCATGTTTCCTCAACATGAAACTTGAGGCAATCAATTAAGTTGCCATTAGTTTTTTTTAAAAAGTCAAACAAGTCAGCACTATATAAACAAAATGAAAATTTACCTCAAATATCCAAGCCAATAATGAAATCGGTAGTCGTTCACTTCACTAAATTACAAGAAATTTGAATAACAGCAACAAAATGGCACATAAAATGTAAAGTCTGCCATTTGAGGCTCAACTTAAAACAAGTAAAAAGTTAAGACAAAAATGTTACAAAATAACCTTTTCAACAGCTGGTTGCTTGTGCCTGGGGTCTCTCCAATGGACTGAAGATTCAAAGGATCTTCCACCCCAGATGTGTCCTTTATGTTGATTTCTCATTTATCTGATGCATCTAGGTTTGAAAAGAAAACAGTTCAGTCAGGATTCCACCATGCACCTTCCCAATTACCTGGATGACTTCAAGTATGCTTCTGGTTGCGTTTCAACTGGCTTTGTCTAATTAAATTAAGTTTTATTAAGGATTATGTGCAGTGCTCCCCTCTCCCCCCCCCTTATCACCATATTGCCTCTCTTCAAAGGCCAAATTTAAAATTCAAAGATGATCATGACGAAGTGTTTTAACAGTCACTTAGTTTAAACTGAGTTAGTGAAGAGCAAGCAACAGGCTGTGAAAGTCATACACTTACTCGACTTTAGCCCATATAAGTTATAATGAATACTAACATTTGTATACTATTTTGTAAAAATCTCAATTTTCCTACTGGCATTCAATAAGAGACACTACCATGAAATTTAATCTAATTATTTAACCTCACAGTTCTCATACCTATTTCCATTTTAAAAACAGGACCAAATAGTTTGAGGGGTTAAAGACACACTATCCTTTCCCCACCCAGGATATTTTTAGATGCCTCTAAAGTTCGAGGAAAAACCAGTTTCCTTTTTTATTGCATTGCATTTGCCACTTCTAGAATTACTTTACCTTCAGTCAGTACAATGACCACTGAACAGATTTTCGATTATAAAAGGATAGTGTATCTTTAACTTTTAAAGACAAACCTGCTCCAAAACACGCCCACAGAAACTGGTCCCTGGAGGATCAGCCAAATCAGTTAAAATCTGCAATACTGGCCAATATTCTTTTAGCAAACAGGAGACCGCAGCTTTAAAGGGGAAAATGCAGATGTTGGATAAAAACAGCAAGAAATAGTCATTTTCATTAATAGGTTGCGTCTCATACAATATTTTATTAAAACCAAACCATTAATCCCTAAACAAAAAACATGAAAATGTCCCCTGCAGAAAGTTTCCTAACCAAGTAACTGAAAAGTCTACTCAAAACGCTAACAGTGTGTCCCACTAGGATTCAGTGTTTCTTAAGATGGTAAGAACTATCCCAATACACCCCAGTAACTGCTATTATGAAGTATCATGCAACATGCAGAGAGCTCCAACTACATTACCTTTTTCCTAAGAGGATACAGCTCCTTCCTCTTCAGGAGATTTTGGGGGGCTCTTAGACCTGGATCTAGATTTAGATTCCCTCTTTGAGGCTGGTGGGGGGGTTCTAGATCTGGATCGGGACCTCGATCTGGATCGGGACCTGGAGACGGATGACGACTTGGACTTGGATCTCCTGGCAGACCTAGACTTGGAGGTGGAGCGAGATCGGGAGCGTGTGCGGGATCTGGACTTGGACCGACTGTAGCGGGATCGACTGCGAGACCTAGAGCGGCTCCTGCTCCTGGATCGGCTACGGCGACGTCTTCTGGGGCTAGAACGTTAAAAATCACTCAGTTAGACGTAAAAAAAAGAGCGATACGGCTGGGGGGGGCAGGGCGGCACACCCCCCCCCCCCCCCCCGGGGGGGTGACACCCCCCCCCTCTC